GTTTTGGTACAGTGTTTTATTAAAGCCAGTGGAAGCATATTGGCTAATGCCATTAAAGAGGTAAATAGTACTTTTATTGTGCTTATTCCAAAAAAAGATCCACTTGAAACTTTGAAAGATTTGAGGCCTATCAATTTGTGTAATATGGTGTTCAAAATTATTACTAAGGTGATTACTTTAAGGATGAAGAATTTTCTTCCTGCTATTATAACCCCTAATCAAAGTAGCTTTGTACTAAAAAGACATAGTTTTGATAACATTATTGTAGCTCAAGAAGTTATTCATTCTATGAGAATTATGCAAGGGTGGAAGGGATTCATGGCTATTAAAATTGATCTGAAGAAGGCTTATAATTATATTAATTAGGGTTTCTTGGCTGATTGTTTGATAAGCCTTAATCTTTCTAATCACATGAGAGAACTAATCACACAATATGTGTCATCTACGTCGATATAGCTGCTTTAAAATGTTAGTAAAGATGATATATTTACTCCTTCTAGAGGTATTCATCAAGGAGATCCAATTTCCCCTTATCTTTTTGTCATATGCATGAAGAAATTAGTACACTTAATTCAAGAGAAAATAGAGGATGAAGAATGGATTCCTGTTAGATTTGAGAGAACAGGCTCGCCAATATCCCATTTATTCTTTGCTAATGATTCCATTTTATTTGCTAAAGCTTCACTATTTTAAGTAGATGTCATTCATGATTGTCTGAGTCATTTTTGTAACAGCTCAGGGATGAAGGTGAATGCCTCTAAGATGCGTGTATATTTCTCCAAAAAGTAAACAATACACAATAGGAGGAGTTAAGTTCTACCTTAGGTTTCACGAGATTTGTAAATTTAGGACATTACCTTGGAGTAAATCTTTACACTAAACTTATATAGGAAGTGATACCTTTATTGATGTTATTGATAAGGTCAAAAATGCTTATCTGCCTAGAAGACTTCTTCTCTTTCACTTGCTGTAAGGACAAGTCTTATTTCTACAATAAGCTCTGCTCTTCCAGCTTATACCATGCAAATGTCTCTTCTTATAATTCAAACTTGTGATACTATTGACAGCTTAAATAGTAGTTTTATTTGGGGTTTTGCAAAAGATAAAAGGAAGACTCATCTTATCTCCTGGGTGAATATTTGCCAAAGTAAAAAAAACTCATGGTTTGGGTATTCGTCAAGCTAGAGCCCAAAATCAAGCATTATTAATGAAACTTGGATGGAAAAGGATGAAACAAAGTGATGATCTTTAGGTTAAGGTTGTTAGAGAAAAATACAACTATGGCAGCAATATGATCTTGGTGATTAATAAAAAGTGACAATGATCTAATACTTGGCTAAGATTAAGAATGTTTGGGAGAAAGTGGTGGAGAGTGCGGAGTTAACTAATAGAAGTTCTGATGTTAGGTGGAAGTGGAAAAAGGATGGTAATTTTTCTGTTAAGTCAACATATTCTTATATGTAGCAACATGATGAGCCTAATAGAGCATAGTGGGGGAGAATTTAGAAGATTATAGTTCCTCAACAGTGCAAATCTTTCTTATGGATTGCTTCTCATAATAGATTACTTATTAATGAAGCATGTTGGAAACATTGGATGACTGAGAATGACAAGTGTCCCTGCTGTTCTGACTACACTGAAGATGCTTTTCATGTCTTGTGCGACTACCAGCAAACTTGTGCTTACTAGTATAAGTTGCTTAATCCTACTTTTCATGATGTATTTTTTGACCTTTCATATGACTACTAAATTCAGTGGAATTTAAATAATGCTAGTCACAAACCAAGGAAGGAGTGAAGGGAATTATTCACAATCAATTGTTTGCTCCTTTAACAATGATGGAATCATTGTATTTTTTAGAATAAGAACAGAGATAATGACACTATCTTTGCATAGGCTATGTTGGTCATGAGAAGTATAAGGCTTTATCAGAAGAAGGTTTGTAATATCAATATGAGTATGACTATTCATTTGTAGAGCCCTTTATCTTAGATGACACCAGCATAATGGTGGGTCAAAATTAACACCGATAGAGGTTTTAATCCTCATACGAAGAATGGTGGTTGCGGGGGAATCATCCGTGATCATCCAAGTTCTTTCTTGTCCAGCTTCATGCTTGGGCATACTGGCCGTGAATGGGACATTACTGTCAATCACTTGATGAGGACCAAAAACACAACTACTGATCATCTTACGAAGCAAGCCTTGCAAGGCTAGCTTGGATTGCATATGTTTTTTAGTCCTTCTCCTACTTTAAATAGTTTTTTATTAGATGCTTGTTGTTTAAATCAACCTTAGGCTGATTGTTGTCTTTTTTCATCAGAGAGAGAGAGAGAGAGAGAGAGAGAGAGAGAGAGAGAGAGAGAGAGAGAGAGAGAGAGAGAGAGAGGTAGGCTTTTTAAAAAAGGCCAATGTTAACAATCTTTCCAGAGCCTAAAATATCAGCCACCACTGCATAAAGCCCAAAAAATAATTATTGGCTCTATGAACAATAAATTGTGTCTAGAGCCATGAAGCCATTTTTCAAGTGTATGGCTCAAGGGAACTACTATTAAAGATATAATGATGATGATGCTACTCTCTTTAGTCTTTTGCATTTTTTATTTTATAAATATTAGTGACACCTTTTCGAACTAAATTTCTGCATGAGTTCATTTCCCTCTACTTTGATGCTTCATTTTTTCGCTCTTTTTATGTTATATATATGGCTAGAGTTCAAGAGAAGAGCACAATCTCTAACAATGGTTGAAACAAATCCATGAAAACCCACCATGCCCGCATTAATTCTCACATACTAAAACTCATTTATCTTGATTTTGATTTGATTAAATAAAAATATATTAAGTGTATAAAATTAAATACATGAGTTTTTTTCATATTTGATTAGATAGAAATGTTTAGTTGAAATGTGCGTGTATTTAATGTTCGTAGTTTAAAAAAAAAAAATCTAAGTTGCCTTCCTTTCCTCCATACATTATTAAATTGCTTTGATGAAGAGTCATTTTCAATGAGGGTGCTAGTAATTTTATACGCACAATGTACCAGTATATGCTTGTTTCTTTAAACATAAAAACAAAATTTTATCAACCAAAATTGAGTCTAACGAAAAAGAATTATTTCTCATAATATGATAAAATTAAGATTTGAAATCTCGCTAAAAAAAATACTTACAAGTATTTCAAATAAGATTTATCTCCAATAACAAGACACATTTATATAAAATAAAAAAGTGGTTTTAGTAAAACTAAACATGAAATATTTGTTCATTTTTAATTGTATAAAATAATAACTTTAAGAAAAAATATTTTTATTTCATGTCAATGCGCGATTTGGTAAGTAATAGTAATTTATTTTAATGAGCTATTGATGTATCTTTTAATATAAAATAATTATAATATTAAAAAGAATATTGTAAAATCAGGGTTATTCAAATTTGTTTGAAATGGTAGAATCATGTTTCTAAAGGTGTGAATTTAGGCAAGCCTAGCTTTTAAAAGTTCAAACTCTAAAACTTGATTATCCAAAATTTAACTTGATTCTGAGACCTGACTTTTATTTAAAAGATTTAGGGCTGGGCCCTTAAACCCGTTTTCTCAAAAAAAAAATTAACATTTTAATTTAAATAAAATATTTTAAAATTAAATATGAAACAAATCAAAGTCTCACATATAATTTAACATAAAATTTGATAAAGATTTAAAATTTTAAATTTAAGATGAAGATTAAAATTTTTATCAATGTAAATCTAAATTCTCCTCATCATCATTTAAAAATAAAATGTTAGATCCCTCAAATGTAAATTCACTTGTTGGAGGTGGAGATTCAATATCAATTATCTTTGCTACTACTTGTTTATTATTTACAATAAATATTAATCAAATTATATCATTATTAATTAAATATATGTATGTATGTGCGTATAATAATCAAGTTTATTAAGGCTTGAAAGGCTGCCTAAGCCCGGGCTATTTTTCATAAGACTTATTAGGGCTAGATCCTTAAACTCGATTGCTTTAAAAAAATTTAATTTTTAAAACTTAAACTCTTATTTATATAGAGTCTTCATATATAATTTTTTAAGTTTAGCTCTTATTTCCAGCTCTCCTTATCTTCCACCCCTCCTCTAATTTTATATTATTTCCAAGGCAAGCTAAAATATTGTATTCCCACTCTGTCATAGTTAAGAACATTGATTGCTTAGGCATGAATTTGACAATGGTTAATGTTTTAACTTTTTATACATTGGTGGGTTTGCTTTGCGCCAATTCCTAAGTTTGGCTTTGAGAAATTCAAAGAAAAGAACTACTCTCGCACGCGTTTGCATCTGCGATGAGCACCGAGCGCTTATCATTACGTGGCTGAATCAAAACCTTTCATTTTATCCTGAAATGATCTCAACCGTTTATTTTAAATTAATTTTTAAATACTTTAAATATTATATTTATTAATATAAAAATTACAAAAAATCCTGATATTTTTTTTTGAGTACAAAAAAAAATCCTGATATTAAATCTGGACTGTTTTCGGTACTCCAAAAATGAGGATCATCATACTCATAATATTTGATGAGATCTACATCATTTAAATTTAAATTTTTTTATTTGTAATTACATTTATCAAAATAAAAAATTTTAAAAATATAATTTTTTAATCAATTTATTTATTATAAATCTGGTTGGTACAGATTTAATCTGAAAGATCTAATTTAATATTAAAATTTTTATAATTTATAAAATTTAACTATTCAAATGTACTATGATGAATTCAGCTACAATCTAAATGACTCAGTTTAATATTAAATTTTTTTATTATTTTTACATATTGTATAAATATACTCTATACAATCTAGGTTTAATACCAGAATTTTTATAATTTTTATATTACTAAATATAATATTTAAAATATTTAAAAATTAATTTAAAATGAACGGTATAGATCATTTCAGGATAAAATCAAAGGCCACGATTTGGCCACGTGTGATCAGCTCTCCGAATGCGAACGCGGAAAGATAGGGGAGAAGGGAGCACCTTTTCTCCAAGAACTCTTCTTCCTCTTTAATTTGGTTGCAATTCTAGCCAGTGCCGAAGGTGAATTTGACTCCATGTGAGCATCTCTCTTTATTTCAGCTCTCCAATACTTTAACTAACCTTAGCTTCCATTTATTCTTGATCATCTTAGCCTGCTTCAGTGGAAAGAACACTATGCGAGATCTTATTTGGAGATTGTTCCATCACCAGTCCAAGTTTTGGAATTTCATGGGGAGTCTATCAGCTATAACCGGCCTGGTTTGTTTTGCCCTGAGCTCCACCTTCAAAAAGTTATTTGGAGAATGGGATTTTCTCCATTTCCTCATTTATCTATCCGTCAGCTCAGTTATCTTGCTCATCGCCTTGCTTGCAAGGAGAATTCGAGTTTCAGGGAATTTCCTGCTAAAAGGTCACATGGTATTTTTCAATTTTGGTCTCACCTGTTTGTACTCTGTTGTTCGTGACAAAACTGTGAGTGGAAAACCAGATGCTTTGAGCACAATCTCGTACGGTTCATTTGCTTTGATGTCGTTGTCCATGTCCAGGAAATTTGAGCTCGGATTCGAAACAGGGCTCTTTAGTTTTTTCCTGGCATGCTTTTCCGTACAACTTATTGAGATCAGCGGGATTCTCTCCGTGATTGCAGTAGGATTTAGCTATGTGCTCATCAATTTTCGCAGCTATTCAGATTCCCAAGTAGAGATTGGTTCCACTGGTCCACATGACTTTCATTGCTTTCAAGTTGATCCTGCAAATGAGTGCAACAATGCAGAGGTCTTTCTTTGTTTTGTTTGGGTGTGTTTAGAGTTAAATATTCTAGAAATAGAAGTTGACTGTTGAAATGAGCATTTCCTGTTCAAATAAAAATTCATGTATTTATCCCTGTGCAATTTTCTTTTCGCAGGAGCAACATTCCACAAGGATTGGAGAAGTTTCAAGGGAAAGCCTATCTGGGGATAGTCAGCAAAGCAGTGAAGAACATGATACTTGTTCTGTTTTGTCTCATCAAGCTGTAGGTGACTAAATTCAGTATAAATTCGTTGATTTTATTGATTTGCTTCCTAAGTCTTATGCAAATGGCTTTGATTTCCTGCAGGAAGTCTCAAATCAAGATGATGTTTCTTCAGGAAAGAACCTGGTAACAAACGAAAATGGCTGGATTAATCTCGGTTCTCCTATGTCCCAATTAATTTCAGGAACCCCACCATCGGAATTTTCAAGGTCTTACACTAAATCACCTATCTCCTTTCCTTCTTGTTTGAACAAGAAGGAAAAAAACGTACTTGCATAGGGAATTGCTGAAAACTAAATTGCATGAAAAACTCTCGAAAAAAATTATTGCTACTAACTTGGTCTACAATTTTTGATTTTATAAACATCATTGACTCTTTTTCTTAGAGATTTCTGCATGGAGTCCATTTCTTTTCTAAGTTTTTCCCCAACTTTTCATCTTGATGTTAGGAATGAGAAACCACCACCCGATAAAGGGAAAGAGATAAAATAGGCAAGATTAGCAATAAAATGCCATATCTTAAAGAAATATTATCTTGACTAATAATAAATATTTCCTAAAATTTCAAATAAAAATAAAATAGGTTTAAAACAAGATGATATATAAAAATAATCATAAATGATTATAAAGATTTAAATCATAATCTCAATAGTTCCTTTTTTATTATATATACTACTCCGGGCACCTTCTAAAAATAATTTTTTGTCCTTAATATAGTATAAGACATCTTATGATGAGGTATTAATTATATTTTTTAAATATTATTTTTATTTAAACTCATTAATTATAAGAAAGAATGTAATGCAAATTTGAGAACTTTTCATTTAAATAAGGGCAATGAAGATTAAAATTTTATTCTATTTTTAAACAAAATTAATGATTTAATTACTTCTTATTAATTCTGTTATGGTAGTTAGAGGTATCTAATAATTGTGACCTAAGGGAATATAACTAGAGTCCGTCCAGGAGCACATCTTCTAGCAATGGTTGGGCAAATCCATGAAACATACGTATGCATTCTCATATATACTGGTGCTGCGATTTTTGTCAGAGATATTGCTGGTGATGCCATACAATTGAACCCGTGGCAATTACAAGTTTGTGATGGTGTGCATTCGATGAAGCCGCGACTCATGTATGACCCGTTGAGACGCGTATGGCTGCGCCTGGAAGAAGCGGCACTGGTGTTTCGTATGGTGGAAGAAGCAGACTTGGAAGTGACAAAGAGGCCAGAAATGAGAGTTTTAGTGAAGCCTGCAGCCAAGGATTCAGGGGATGACTCCAGTACTTCATCTCCAACATCGGTGCTTCCTCAACTCAGGACAGATGCTGATGAGGCGGAACAAGAAGAAGAAGACGAGGAGGAGGAGAAGGAGCCTCTGAAATTCAATCAGGTTCTGTGGGTACAACGCTAGCTATTATCCCCATGCTGGTTCCTACTAATATAATATAAAGATGAAGTGAAAAATTCTTAATTTAAAGGATACCATTAATGCTATTAATATGTATAATATTTTTATAAGTAGTTAGTGACACTTTTGCTTGCGTACTTGATGTGTACAAAGAAGGAAACAAGGGATTTGGGGTGCCTGCTTTTCTTTCTATTGTCTCCTCTAATATATAAAATCTCTTTTATTTTTTCATTTGAAGGAGAAATTAGATGAAATTTTTGTGATTATTAGCTGAAATGAAGGGCTGAGATTTTGGACATTAAGAAAAAACAACAGACACTTCAAATAAAAGATGTAAGGATTTGATGGAGCTATTGGAAGTTGACTAGAAGGAAAAAAGGTGTAAGTCAAGTCTGTTGTATTAATTTGCACCATTTCCTGAACTTGCTGGCTGCTATACAAGTTTCTTTGTCATGTCATTCAATCATTCATCATGCTTACTTGACGTGCGAATTTCATATGTTTGAGTCTTGCCTCCTTTCATGCCATGGTTTACTGCAAACTTTGGATGCTTGACACTTGTTATAATTGATGGATAAAAATTGTACAAATATTTTTGTATACAATTTTAAGATGCAATCTTGTCCTTTTTTGGGAGGAGGAGAAGACAATAAAGAAACTAGATTCTTCACTTGATGTAATCCTATCATTATCCAAGTGGCACGTTGTGGACAATTATTTATCAGACTTCGACTCTTGTAGCACGTAATTGGGGCTTCAAGATTTTACATTATGAGTAGTTTCTCTGTCATAACCTTGATGATGATCGTCAGGTGTGCCAAGTCGTTGATGACAGCCGGAGGTTAGATTCAAGGAAGGATTGCCTCTGATCTTGAAAGCTCTGTAGTTTGTGGACCATTCGTTTCGATTGGTGTCAAGAATGGGATTGTTTTCATGAACAGGTCGAAAAATGAAATTTGGAAGGATGGCTGCAATGGCGAGGGAGATTCAGGAATAAGGTGAACGTATTGTCCGGCATAGCCATCTATATGCAGGATTCTTCTAGTGAAGAGTCTTTGAGATGAAGAAAAGGGTACGTGAGATTCTACTCCTGAGGGTTTCTTGCATATTATCTCACTCGGTCTCAGAAATTTGGGTTCAGCTTGATTCCTTCATTTCTTGGTATGTTGCTAAAAAACAAAAAAAGGGGGGGAGGGGAGTTGATTTCTTGTCGAAGGGCTGGTGGTAAAGTAGTTCCTGGCGCACCCAATGAGATTCTCTTAAGTTATAGATGGCAACACTAGTTTGAATATGTTGCGACGAGCATGAAAGTTTTAATGTGGTTGTTGGTGCTACTACTTTATTTTGACCAAGATTGATGGTGCTGCCAGAGATGGCTGTGTGGTCGTGTGGTTGATGAACCTGGAATCCCTGTGAAATTTATGTGTTTGGAGGAATGAAGAGCTGATGGTAAACTCAATGAATTGGGCATCTAAGTTAGAACGATTGCTCTCTGTTCATGGTCCTTATTGTTGAGCGAGCAATGGTGCTTTCTTGCTGAGCCAATGCATAGAGAGCACCCAAAACACCGGAAGAAAATATTCGAAGTACATTCAGGAAAGACATAAAGGGATTTGATGTTCAAAATACAGTTTTGGAAGGTAGTAGATTCTTTTACACAGACGAAGCAAAATCATTGAACAACGCATATGGTGGATCCCTCCTTTGATTTGGTAGCTGTGGGATTGATTTCAAGAGGAACAGAGAGAAGGCATTGTGGCATCCGAATTTAGCAAAGAAAGTGTTGATTGGTTGAAAGTTGGCAAAGTTTTTCCTTATCCTATTCAAAGTTTGAAAGGAGAAAGAGTCAAATGATCAAAAGCATATAATCACTGATGATTGCACTAAGTTCAAGGAAGTGAAGTGATGATCAAGATGGTGAATACAGTACAATAAGAAAGATGAAATGCAAGTTTAAAGATATCTTCAAGTTGTTTTAGCAAATTAAAATTGATTGGTTTAGTTCTTACTCCACCCTTATATTTGGTGTTGGCAAGTTGAACATCTTAAAGAGTGTTGTCAACTTGATAGGGGTGTTGAATTAGTTAGAGTGATTAGTATTAATAACTTAATTGTTGATAACTCTAAAATTTATATAAAGAGCATTATATTTAATTAGAGGTTAGGAGGTTGTATTTAGGGGCAGACCTAGAAGTAGTTCAAGGGGGCTCCCCCCCCCCCTCCCCCAAAAAAAAACCTGTCCAACTTTGATATATATTAAGGGGATAGATTGTCATGGTCAATAGGGTCCATATATTATACATATATGGATAAATTGTCATGATCAATTGTAAATTGAAAAAAATTAAAAAAGTATAAATATTTTTAGAACCAAATTTTTATAAAGATGAACTTACTTGTTGAATATCCATGTTAACTCATAACTTGGTTTTCCACCCAAGGAAAAGAAAACCAATATAGTATACCTTGATTTGGATAAAGAACACAGTGACCAATAGTATCGACAACATATAAAAATTTTAATAGGAATAAAATAACACAAATAAACTTTATAAATTTATACATATACACAAATGCATACACATGAATAAAAAATATTTGTCTCTCAATAATTAGTGCTAGATAACATGACAATTTTGTATATGCACAAATTAATATAAATAAATATATTATTTTACTTGAAATAATTTTATTTTTATTTTTTTTATTTATAGATATTATCTTATGAATTTTTTTCAATAATAAGATTTTAAAAAAAAACTTAAGAACTATAAACCGATGTATATATTTTTTTAAAAAAATTTGGCCCCCTCTAAATCTACGCTGGTTCCACCCCTAGTTGTATTCCACCTCAAAAGAAGGTTAATAAAAGTCCTCATCTTAATATTTTACTTCAAAATTGGGGTTTATAAATAACTTTAGTTGGATAGATTAATGTAAGGTTTCATCATTTTTCTTGTTAATATTCTCTTCTTCAATATTCTTCACATATATACTCACACACGTGTTGTGCTGATGGAGTTGCCGTGCAAGGAGGGATATTTTCTTAATGATATTGATGAGATACTTTGTAGAATTAAGCGAAGTAAATCAGTACTAACATGCAATATATATAATAAAATATCTTGTATCTTTAAATATAAAGTATCTCTATCAAAATCTCTTATAATTTTAAATGAAATGAATATATATATATATATATATATTTTGATATGTTGTGGTGAAGTAATTAACAATGGGCATGATTGTATGTGTGTGTATAAATTGTTGATATACATACATTTTTATGTACCATTCACGTAGTTTTTAGTTATCAATATCGTCGTCGTTGTGCATGGGATCATATTGATTTTTTTTTTTTGTTTAAATCAAGAATGACTACATTTACATGTCCAATTTGCTCCATGTTAATTACTTATTGATTCACATTCATTCACCATTTACATTTTATTTTAATTACATTGATAAAGCAAAGATCATTTAGATGGTAATGTACTATAGACGGCTTCTGGTTGCTTTTGGCCTTTTGCTACCACATAAATTGATATCACACTAACACTGCCCTTCTCAGTTTCCCTCAGGTGGGGGAAGTGGAACCATACGGTAACAAGAGACGAAGTTTTGAAGAGAAGAAACCCATTCAATCCCAAAATCTTAGCTTCTTCCCATATCATCTCGTGGTTGCGGCGGTTCTGCCATAGTGTGGGTCGGGGGATCTGATTGAGGTTAGTATGTTTCTTTGATGATTTTTATTTTTTGGCCTATAACAGAAATCTTAGCACAATCTCGGTTACACTCTGCTTTTGGAATACGAATCCTTGTTCTTGAGGAATTATTAAACACATCTGATCTTTTTTCCCTTTTCCGATTTTCTACCTTGCTTTAGCCGAGTTTAGCTTGCCCGTTTATTTTTTGGATATATAACTGCAGGCAGTTTGCTGTTTCTGATACCTGGAAAAGAACAGAATGGGAGATCTTATAAATCCGTCCACGATTTGGAAACTTGTGGGATCTGTGTCAGCCATAATTGGCGTGCTTTGCTTTGGTTTCAGCTCTACCTTCACAGACTTGTTTGGGGAGTGGGATTATCGCCGTTTCCTTGTTTATATATTTGATCAGTTTATCTGTCCTCTGCTTCACTTTGCTGGCCAAGGGAATTCGAGTTTCAGAGAATGTGCGAAGTCATGTGATGACTGGCAGTTTTGTTCTGACCACCTTGTTCTCCTTTTGGCATGACAAACGTGTAAAAGAAAAATCAGATGCATTGAGCATTATCTCGTATGGTTTATTTACTTTATCGTCGCTGTCCATGTCAAGGAAGTTTGAGCTTGGATTCGAAACAGGATTCTTTGGTTTTTCCCTCTCAATGTTTATCCAACAGCTTGCCAAGATCAAGTTAATCTTCGCACTAATTGCATTCTTCTTCAGCTACGTCCTCATTGTTTTTCGCCAAAGAGTACTGCAGGTTGGTTCTGACGGTCCAAATGACTATTAGATCATAGAGTTTGGTTCTTCAAAGGAAGCTGAAATGGAAATTGATGATGAAGACATCAACGAGGAGGTCTTAATTGAGGTTTGCAGCAAAATGCTTAAGCAATTGAACCTGACTTGAAACATTGTTACCTGAACTAACATGTATTTTATACTTGTGGATTTTCTTATTTGCAGGCCCAGGATCCCGCACGGGTGGGAGAAGTTCCTGCGAACAATCAGCAAAATAACGAAGAGGAAACTCTTTTGTCTGCTCAAGCTGTAAGTGATCAAATCCAAATATAAATAATATTCATTTTATTGATTTACTTCTCTACCCTATTAAATGACTTTTCTGAAATTACAAGACAAACCTAAGCTTGGAAATTCCTAACTCTTAAAGAAAAGCAAACAAAACAGATTACACATTTCTATCCAGATGATAGAAACCAAGACAACTTGATGGGAGTGTATTTAAAAGTTCAAAACGATCAGTCAGCCTCCTTCGCAAGATAATCTGCCACATACCCTATTAAATGACTGAACATATGTATTGTTAAATTCATACAGACGCATCATTCCCCAAGCATTGAGGAAAGCATAGTTACGTCAGATTGGGACAATCAGCGAACAAATGAAGAAGAGGAAACTCCATCGTCTGTTCAATCTGTAAGTGACCGAATCCAGTATAAATATATTCATTTTACTGGTATACTTGTCTAGCTAGTCTCTCATGTAACACACACAGTCACTGATGCGAGAAGATTATAGGAAAGAGATATAGAAACAGAGACGAGAGAGATCACTGATCAGCGAGATACGAAGAAATATAGAAACCCGGGGGGTTTCTTGTTATAAATTTTGACTCGTTACATCAAGTCATTTTCCTTAAAATGTGGCCCTTGTTCATACCTTCGGTTCCCTCAATTTTTGGATGGTACATGAATCCAACAAGTAAATGGATTTGCACCATACTCATAACTTCCTATAGCTACCATGGCCACTTGTCATACTTCTTTAAAGGAGCGATCTTTGGCATTTATAGAAGGGGTCCCCAAGCTCATTTAGTTGCAATTGAAAATCTCTCCCAGTCCCACATACACATACACCATCAAGAGAGCAAAAAAGAGAAATTAGAAGCAACCCCACAAACAATTCAAGTTCCAAATTTAGCAATGGCCGGAGGTAAGTTTCTATCATGTTTCTTTAGATTGTGGGCATGCTTTACCGTTCATCATGATCTATATGATCGTACAAGTCGTACTAAGCTTTCCTTCCTTTGATTTCATGGATAGCTTCTCGGCCCTATGTGGTCTCCTTCCAGTTGATTGCTTTTTGAAAGTGTACAGGATTGTAATAAAGTGTCTCAAAGTATTCAAGGGAAAAGATTTTGCCATGTCAATTTATTTTAATTTAGTAAAATAACAATAGATAAGTGAAAACTATTTGAGTTGAGAATTAAATGAAAAAAATTACTAATAATAATATGGAGATCATTTTTCAATCAGTAGAAGTATCAGGGTTCATGATTTACCCTATTACTAATTTCTACCACACTTTGAATTGACTCTATCATTAATCACAGTAACAATTATTCTTGAAGTGTTTTAATTACACTCTAAGCTAATTTATCCCTATTTAATTCGGATGGAATTTGCTTTTTTCGAAATCGAATTAAAATCATAACAAAATCATGGAGCTACAACTTAAATAGCCATAAATTCCTAAATCTATTTTTAGTTTGGTTATTCATGTCTATATCCTTACTCCAACTGGTGGGTAAATCAGAAACACCTAATAAAAATAACAATAGATATTGTTTTAAAATAATTATAAATATAAATCATAAAGAAAATTAAGGGCTAGGAAAAAAATAAATAATAGTTAATATGTAAACAATTTTTTAATAATCTTGCTCTCAATTTTCATAATAAGCTTCCCCAAGTTCCAAATATATCTTGAAGAAAATTTTTGAATTATTTAGATTAGATAAGTGGTTGGATGCTTCCTTAATTTTCTTATCCCACGTGGGAGTCTAGTGTGGGTATACTCCCTTGGTTTTTATTTGTGAGAAAAACTATTACTTCTAATTTTTTTATAAGCAAAATTATATTTTTTAATAGGCATTTATTACAAACTTCTTAAATTATCCCTCATAATTTTATTATTCATAGTTATAAAAAATAATTAATGAAAACTTGATTAATATAATTAATAAAGAGTATTATATTCCAAATGCGTTTACTTTCAAACATAATTTATAAACTGTGTAATATACTTTTTTTCCTCTTACAAATAAAAACAGAGAGAGTAAATCGCAGGTGAGCTTTTTTCTTATTGATACACACACGAGTTTGTGCGTGTACCTCTGCAGCTTGGGGAAAACGTTCCGACTGAACTGCTTCTCTCTCTCTCTCATATATCTATATATACATACATATATATATATATATATATATATTTCCTGTTTCTTCTTTTCTTTTTCTATTTAATATTCTCATGTATTTATACTTGTGGATTTTCCAATTTGCAGACCCAGAGTAAGCATATCAGAGCGGGACCTTTGGCAAAGTAATGAAGAAGAGGGAAGTGTTGGTCCGATGATGCTGTAAGCGACCAAATCCAATTAATATAAACAATGTTGATTTGTGGAAGAGAGTCTTTGAGTGTTGTGGTAATGGTCTGAATTTGATACAGGAATGGTGGAATCAAGATGAGGTATCATCAGGAAACAACGCGGTCGCAATGGAAAACGGTTGGATGCAGAGTGATGCAGCGCAAGGCCTAAGGTGCTACTCTCAAACACCCATTTCCTACGCTGTTTGTGCTCACTATTTACACTGATAATTGAGAGTAAAATTTTTGCCAGGAAAACAGATTTTTTTTTAAAATAATTTTAAGATGCATGCACGCCTTTAAACCCTGAAAAGTAAATAGGATGCAGAGAGTTCATTAGCTTGCTAATTCTTGTGTTACTCGGGTCTATGCGTCTTGTAACACACCAAAATTTTTTTTTTTAAGTAATTTAACTCAACCATAGTTGGGTTACAGCCACCCAAACACATTTTTATATAATAATTTCAATATAAAATATTTTATAATTGATTTCAACTCAAACACTATAACATTTCAGATAAATTTTTACCTCCCACATGCCATTAGGCTAAATCACATTTGTCCATCCTTATACTCCCAATAAGTAAACTAAATCACATTTGTCCATCCTTATACTCCCAACAAGTAAAATAAGCAATTTAATCAATTTTCAACACAAGCCAGTTATTTGTCCTTATAATCATGCCAATTTAATCAATCCAAAATAAACCAAATATTAAAATTACAGTCATCCAAATTGTACCAAAAATAGAAATAGTTTGAAAGGCATGATTACATTTATATATTCATATAATTGACAATAAACAAAAAGCCCTAATATTGGCAATATAACACATTATAAATCATAAATTAAATACTCAAAAGAGACAGTGGATCTATACTACTAAGCCTCTGGGACTCCTCCACGTGTCACTCGTGGCTCTTCTCCTGAAAATTGTTAACCACATAATGAGACTCAAAAGTCCAGTAACCAAAGCCAATTTATGATAGTGTATACAAACAGTTAAGTGGGTGCTTATTAAGTGAGAATTAAAAATAATATAATTCCAACAAATATAAGAAATATTACAATAAACACAAACAACCATCCTTATATCCTTCATTAACCTTGAGCCGTAGCCCTCACTCGGTGCTAAATTACCCAGCCAAAGGTAGATTAGCCCGAGCCCTTACAAGCCACCTATTGAGCTCCAATAGGGGCGTACCACGTGGCACATAAATACAACAACAATAGCAAGTCTCCCAACACCTCCCACAATAATTAAACAAATTCATAATAATATTGCACAATTATACAATATTACAAAATTCATAATTTTCTCAATAATCACCCAATTAACATGAAGTAACACTAATCACAAATTAAAAGCATGGTTACCTTGTGGCTTTTTCAATAAATTATTCTTTAAAATTTTCTCTCACCACAATCTCACCAGTAATACAATCTACAAATAACATATTATTTATAATATTAGTTTCAATTTTTGAAACTAATAAAATAATTCTAATAATAGAATTAAAAATATAACATAATTCCTAATCTCAATCTTAATACAAATCTATAGTTAATAATATTAAGTAAAATTTTTAACTCCTCTTTTAATTATCAATAAACATTAATAATATAAAAATTAACTTTTAAACTAATTTCTATTATCAAAATTTTCTTTTTATTTCATAAATTCGTACCTAAAATATCCAAAAATTAAAAATTGAGTCTCTGGCTTAGAATCATAATCCTATAACCATAATAATTCATTTCTCATCTCAAATAATCATCTAAACCTCAATAAATCAACATATATTTTCAGATCTAGTTTAGAATTTGATCCATAAGCCACAGATTCAAAGATCATCAATAAATTTATACTCTAGAACATTTATTATACTACTGACAACCTCAAAAATCATATTTATTCAACATAAATTCATCCCTCTTCCAGATCTTAAATTTTCTACCACTACAAACTCAGAAATCAAAGAAGAAGGATGACTAAGAAAAATTTTAGAACACTTACTTAGTCTTGAAAAGCTTAAAATCACATCCTAAATATCCTATTAAAAACTCTTACCTTAAAACCCAACACCGGTGAACTTGGCTCACAGATGCTCTCTCTATCTCAGCTCACGCACGAAAGAAGGAATGAAGAAATGAAGGAACAGTAAGTTTTTATAAAAATTCAGTGGGTCTCACATATTTTTTTTAATTATTTCCTCTCTCTTCTCTTTTTTTATTTTATTATTATTATATAAATATAATCATTGCACCGGGAAGAGCACCGAAAGCCATCTTGTTCTCTTCTTTCTTTCCTTCTTTCTCATACTTTTTTTTTATAATAATAATAATAATATTTTAATAATATTTTTTTATTATTTTTTTATTTTTTTTATTTTTTATTTTATTTAGAATTATATCCTAAGTTAGATTTAATAATCATCTCCTACTAATTTGTTTACCTTTAAATATTTTTTTAAAAATTTTTATTTACCAAAAATTAACTATTAAAATTTAAATTGGGATGTTACACGTCTTTGTTGGTAATTAATAAGAAATAAAATTAGATTGGATGAGTGCATGCATGGGTTTATGAAGACATTGATAGCATTATAAGTAGGAGAAGGGTAAAGTAAGAGAAGAAGGAAGCTCCAATGTAAGATGGTGGGGTTGAAAATGTACATACAAGGGGAATGGGTGATGATATGATTAATTAATTCAAATATGTTTTGAGATTCAGATCATGTGCTGTATCACTTTGTGCAATGGTTGAAAAGTAGATAATCATCACCCTTTGTTCTATCTAATGGCTAAAAGAGAGAGGTGTATAAAAGGGCTTGTCATTCGTAAAGTGTACAATCATATTTTATATTTTAATAAAATTATTTTATCACTAAGATGGACAGTTTATATTTAATTTATATTGTTCAAATTTAATATTAAAATTTTAATGATATTAAAATTTAATGTAAACATTCAAATTGAATATTATTTTTAAAAACTTTTATGAATTAATTATCTAGATATAGTTTTAAAAGTTCAAATATAATGTTAAATTTTTCTAAATAATTTTTATAATTTTTTTATTTGACAAATATAATATGAAATATAAAGATAATATCTTGGAACTTTCTAAAAATATTTTTAAAAAAATTACAAGTTAAAAATTTAAAATTTAAATTATTCAAAAGACATTGGATAATTAATTTATAAAAATTATTGAAATTTTAATATTAAATTTAGATAATATAAATTAAATATAAACTATACATATTAGTGATAAAACAATTTATTAAAAATATAAAATATGATTATTTAGTTACTAATCACTGCACAAAATGATACCGCACATGATCCGAATCCTATGTCTTGTGTGTGTGTGTGGGGCTGTAATATCATGGAACAGAACAGGAGCAGAGGGTACTTAAGAGAAGGAAATGAAGAGAAGAGTGTAGTTTGAGCAACTGTGTACGGTGTTGAGCATAGAGTTGGTAAACGGGCGGGTCAAATCCATAGGGCTCGGCCCTTATGGGCCCGGCCCTTATGGGCTTAGGCCCTAAAGCCTGATACCCCAATTTTACCTCAAAATGAAGCCCGGCCCTTATTATAGGGCTCAGGGCCAGGCCTATAAACCCGGATAAGAAGAAACGAAAAAAAAAATAAAATTTAATATTAAAATTTATTTAGAATATTTTAAATTTAACATATATCAAACCAAAGTCTCACATAATCTAAAAAAAACAAAAATTAAAAGTCCAAATAAGATGAAGGCAAACATCATCATCAATCCTAATCAAGATCTCCCTCATTAGCATTCATAAATAAAATATTAAAACCCTCAGATGTAGGTCTACTTGTGAAAGATGGAGGCGGAGGCTCAATATTAATTATTTCTGCAGCTTCTTCTTCATCACCTACAATAATTATTAATTAAATTGTTTTATTATCAAATATATATCTATACATATATCACAAGATAAAATATAAAATTACTATAAAATGGCACAAAACAATTCAACCAATTGCTGGTACAAAATACAAATCAATGTTTGCACATTATCTGAAAAGAGGTAAAAAAAATACTTTGTTGAATAGTAAAACGGGCTTTACAGGCCGCCCGAGCCCGAGCCCGTTTTTCTAGGGCTTAAAAGGGCCGGGCTTTGAAGCCCGGTTATCCTAAAAAATGCTAATTTTTAAGCCCAAACTCTTATTAAAACGGACTTAAACGGGCGGTCCGTCAAGCCCGGCCCTTATTCCCGACTCTAGTTGCACAGGAGGAGGAGGCCGGGAGGATGGCGCGTGGGATTGGAAACAGAAGAGCCAGTAGCGTTGGAGATACTCTTTGGGGCTGGCGCGTGCGCGTGCAGTGGGGCCCCCCATCCCTTTTTTTTTCCCCCACTTAACAGCCGCGTGACAAGTTCGTAGTGCTTTTTGTGCTGTTCCTCTGACACCCGTAAGAGAATCCAAGGAATTCGCTTGACAGTGACAATTATATTTTTATTTTTCTTTTTTCAATATAGGAAAGTCTTTGGCTCACCACGCTTCTCTCATCTCTCTACATCTTTGCGTTGCTTCTGCTTCTACCTCATGAGACGAAACGCACCCTCTCACTTTCCTATTGTCTCTCTAGTCTTTATACATCTGTCTCTTCTCCGGTCAAGATGATAAGGCGCTTATGATCATCCAAAAAAAAAAAAAAAAAATTATACCAGAATACTAATGGTATTATAGAATTAAAAAAATTTATACCATGCTATTAATATTATAGTATAAATTATATTTTTTTCAGCTCAAATTATAAGATATTTTTTAAACAAATCTTACATACTAATAAACTTTATTAAATATACCTAACAAGCTGATCTTTCTAAACAAAAATATAAACTTTTAAGTGCCTATCATTTAATACATTGAAATGAGAAGGAATGAAAATTATTATAGAAAGAGAAAGGATAATATTAAAATTAATGCATTCAATAAAATTTTAATATATTCAAAGCGTTTTATATTTTAAGATGAAAAAATCATTTAAAAGTACTTTATAATTTAAAATGAAGGAGTAGTATGTAGTTTATTATAGTACATATCTTATTTTTTTCTTGGGATGGTGCATGTTAGGGTGGAGCCAAAAAAATTTTCAGTCAGCCGAGACAATAAGGTGTACATGATAATTGAAGGGAAGTTAAATTTTATATATCACCAATATAATATAATTATTTTAGCATATATTTTTATTTTGTTTTACAAATATATAATAAAGATAAATATATATCTTCACTTTTCAATTTTTATTTATCAATTTTTCATTATATAAAAATAATAATTATCATATTTATAATAAATATTTTAGTAATTTCTCTCTCAATATAAATTATCATTAAATTAGTGAAATTTTATCTTTTCTATAAGCATTGAATGATTTAAATGCATAACTAAGATCTAAAGTTTTCTTGAATCTAACAAGCTTTATTACTTGCCTATTATTAATCTATTATTTAATTTTTTTCAATTGATAATCATGGTAAATAAATATATTCATATGATAATTATGTTCAATTGTAACAAAATATTTATGTCAATTATATTTTTTTATTTCCATACTTGAGAAAAATTCTTTTGTAATAATTCTTATAATTTTTCATTAAATATAAAATGAAAGAAAAATCAAATGACATCGATAATTTAAAAGCATGTGTAGCATTATCTTGTTAAGAATATGTAAATTCTATGAGAATTTTTTTAAAAAACTATTTATATTTTAAAATAGAAATTGCTACTTGGATTTTAAGATAGATGTAGAAATATATCTTTGGAGAAAATTTTTTTTCTTCAATTAATTATGCGGGGAGTATATTTAATAAAATTGAAAAACTAAAATAAAAGAGGGTAAAAAGCGTTATAAAAGGCTGGGTTGGAGTTTTTTGGTTTCTTATGTTATCATCTCCGTAATTCATATTTGTTGGTGTAGGTTCATGAACTGGCTGATTCAAATTAGTTAGCAAGGTTCTTAAAGCACATCTTTCACCGAGGAAAAGCCAAGCATTTGGCGATTAACTTTGTCCACATGGAATGAGCAAAAACAGGAAGGGGCAAGTTGTAAAATTAGAAGGCAGCCTAAGTGATATTCACTTCATTTTTATTTATAAAAAATATTAATTTTAATTTATTTTTATATAAAAATTATACTTTTAATAAGCATTTATTAAAAAAATTTAAATTACTCCTTATAATTTGATCATTCATAATCATAAAAAAAATTAATAAAAATATATAATTATTTTTTTTATTTTTAAATATAATTAATATAATTAATTAATTTTTTTTAAACTGTATGATATAATTTTTTTTTTATAAATAAAAAGGGAAGGGATAGTGGATTTTTTAAAACAAAAGCAAGTGAGCTAAATGTGTTGACCAGTTTCTGTCTACTTGAATACTTTGGGTCAATCAAATTAAAACCCAGAGCTGCGAGGACGGACCTAATGTCCAAAGCCACCATGATACCCTTTTGTTTTTTAGGCTTAACTGTTTATTGATAAAATGACAAATAATTGAAATACAATTAAATTCAAAAAGTAAAAAAAAAAAAAAAGTCTTAACTATTTATTCCTGCTTCTGCCCAATTTATCTTCCCTGCCCATTGAACAAGCTAGACCAGACCACGTGAAGATACTAGAAAGCAGATGGGTCGATGCCCAATACGAAGACATATAGACATCCATCCATGCACATGTAAGGCTTACGTTGAAATAGCATCGAAACTGCTTCATTTTCCACATCTTGCACCAGTGGCTTGGGAAGTCAGTCATGCTTTTGGCTACTGAGACAGTTGACCTACACGGCTTCTGCGTTGAAGGATTGAAGAAAAGAAACCCATCAATCCCAAAACCCTAGCTTCTTCTCGTCTCTTGTCCGGTCTTTTGTGGGTTGCGGCGGATTTTTGTTTGGCAACAGTGGTGGAATTCGAATCCTTGTTCTTGAGGAATTAAAAACACACCTGATCTTTTTTCCCATTTTGGATAACTGTAAGCAGTAGGCTGTTTCTGATTCCTGGAAAAGAACAGAATAAAACAAGTGATTAAAATTGTGCGAATTGAATCAGCCATAAGTGGCATGGTTTGCTTTTGTCGCAGCCCCACCTCCAAAATGACATTTGGAAGGTGGGGGTTCTGGCAGTCTCCTTTTATTTGTGATTGGCTCTCTTTTTGACAAATAAATAAATAAATAAATTCATAAGTAATTATTCTTAAATTACAAGTCACAGTGCATAAATTCACAATATTATCTATTTATTTAAAATTAACTTTTTATAATTTCATTTTTAAAAAATTCATAATTAAGTGATTATTCTGAAATTCGCAAGTGAAATATGCATAAATTTATGAGATTATATATATTTATTTACAATTGATTTTTCATTAATTCAAAAGTAAAATTTCTTAAATTCATAGCTAATTAATTTCTCTAAATTCATGAGTATCCTTCTACTATTAGTTATTTCAATAATTATTTCTTTTTAATTATAAATAAAATTTTAGTTCTCTTTTAATATTTCAATATTTCTAAATTTCATATTGTTATTTTAATAAAATTATAAATAATATATGTTTCCCTTGCTTAGGACATCTAATTAATCAATCCTAAAAATTAAATATAGGCAGAAAAAAATAAATATATTATATTAATATCAATAAATTGTTAATACATATTAAAAAAAAGTGTCAACTAAAATGCATTCTTCTCTTGCATACTTCGCGCTAACAAATCTTGTTCGTTGCCATGATAATGACAGTAGGGAAGCCTAGCAAGATAGGAGTCAAATGTACAGTTCCGTTGAAAACTTGAAATGGATTATTTTGAATAATTAATCCTAGATTGGATCCCTAGGGAAAACTCTTGAAGCCGATTGGTCGATCTATTAGTCCATTCTTATTGGTCAGACAATTTTATTATGAGATCATCTATTTTGATTTTTCATTAGTCTGTTTTCTTACTATAAGATCTTTATGATATAAAATGTCTTGCATGAATAATAGAACAGTCCTTATTGGTTAATTTTTTTTTTCTTTTTCAACTAAACAGTTTTTCGTGCATATAAATAAAAAAAGTTTAAAACAAATATTATTGATGTCATTGATATCGACATATCTAAAATGGCTAATTTTTAAAAATTCCTCTATTCAATTATTGTCCTTCTTTTTGATATTTTATTTATACACATCTTATCTTTATTCTTTGAAAAGGTCAAATATTTAATGATTCTATCATACATGATTGAGTTAGAAAAAATAGATAAATATCTTACATATAAGCTGATTCATTTTTTCAATATATTGTTCAGTTTATTCTTTAATTTTGTTTTTGAGAGAAAACTTTTTTATGTTGATGATCACAAAGTTCACCGACGTTTCGTTTTTCTGATTTGTACAACTCCTTTCATTCGGGTCAATTTTTTAAACCAGACTTGACAAACTTTGAAGAATCATGTTAGATTTGTACGGTTACAATTTGATAGACAAACTTTTTAATGAATAATTATTGAGGATTTAAAACGCATTTAAAAAACATTGCACCAATGAGAAATTTCAGAGAGTCTTCAGACAAAGGGTCCTAACAAAATATGCCTTACAAAATCACCCCAAAATGATGGTAAAGAAACAGAAGGATTGTAAACTAAATAAGATGAAATTGCATATCTAGGTTGATAGATGGTTGGGAGATTCACTTTTCTTTCATGATGAATCGACGATTCTTGGTGGAGCTAAAGTTTGGAGTAGACATGGCGCCAATTCCCACATTATTTTCTTCAACAGTTGATGAAGGATCACTCAGCCTCTTCTTCCCCTTTAGTTCATTCAGATTCTGAATCACAAGAGTTGCTTGGTCTCCTTCATCATCAATCCTTATATAGTACGTGTTTTTCTTTGATCCATACAATTCAGATGGGATAGACATCATCAATCCTTATATGGTACGTGTTTTTCTTTGATCCATACAATTCAGATGGGGTAGACATGATAGATGAAGTCATGCAGAGAATGAACTCCTAGGTGTAGAAAACTGTAGATGTGTGGAAGAACAATATCAATTCATTTAAGTTGTGTGGGGAGGACAACCATAAATTAAAGATAACATGAGAAATGCTAGTAATCTGGAGGGCAATTTATGCTTGAATACCTGATTCTGGTCATTTTCATTTGTTGGGATAGGCTGATTGATATATTGAGATAATAATAAAAAATATTTCAATAACAATACACGTGATTCAAATCCTACAAACTTAAGCAATATGTCTAATACATATTACAGTAATAATTTAGTAGTAGCAAACTAAATTAAAATTAAAATTAAAATATAAAATAGAATGGTGAAATTTGAATGAA